GGGGCTGTAGGCACTCTAGGAGGTTCCTGGCAGACCTTCTGATCCCTCAAAGACACAGCTCAGGAGTCTCAGTGACTGCTTCAAACTTGAAAGCTCCGTATGAATTTAATCCTTTTTTCCACCTCCACAACTCCCCTGCCCCCGAAATGAGAAACTGAAAACCTAAACTCTGCAAAGGTCCATATCTGTATCTTTAACATAATCCCTGCCTTGAGCTTCCCCTTGAAAAGCGCCCTTGGAAATACCGGGGCTGATCTAAACCTGTGACAGCCCTGACCCACACAGCACACTCTCAACAGCAGAAGGACCCTCTCCTGCCACAAGCTGCTCCTTCCACCCACAGCTTCTCCCCACAGCGCCGTGGGGAGCTCCCCAGGCAGGCTGAGAGCTGACCCTTGCAGGCGGCAGAGACAGCCCCTGGGGTGCAGGGACCTGCTCCGAAGGACAGCCCTGGGCACCCCTGGCTGCACACCCAGCTTCACACCCACCTTCACACCCTGCAGCAATCCTTGGGAGAAGGCAGTCTACATGCCCTGTCCCTCTGATGGTGTGTCAGGAAAGCCCTGCTCGCACGAGTGTTCTCTTTTACACTAGAGAAACTGTAAGAGTCCTCCTGATAGATTTTGGAAATTGTGGGATGTACCAGTTTCAGGAGATCCCTCCAGGAACACAAGCTATATTGCCCTGAATCCAGAGACTTACCATGTAGAGGGCTGTGGAGATTTCTCCATCAGTGAGTTCTCAGCATCCTCCTACTTGCAACTTCCTCTCCTCCGTGCCTGCAGGCAGTGCCCATATTGCCCTGAATCCAGAGACTTACCATGTAGAGGGCTGTGGAGATTTCTCCATCAGTGAGTTCTCAGCATCCTCCTACTTGCAACTTCCTCTCCTCCGTGCCTGCAGGCAGTGCCCTCAGCCCTGCTGCACTTTGCAGAGGAGCTGCTCCTGAGCAGAGCTGTCTCTCTGCAGCGCTGCCCACTTGCCATCAGCTCCCTCCATCCCCGCAGCCCAGCCCAGCTCAGCAGCACAGGACCAGCCCAAGGCAGCACTTTCTCTGCCTCCTGCTGTTCCCCCCTCCCCTGCCCCCAGATCCCAGGAGGTGTCCCTGGTCTCCAGGGCTGACAGCTCCTGGAAGGCTGCAGGGTCTCTCCTGGGGAACACAGTTTGGAGCAGACTGAAGCAACCCCTGACTGTCCCTCTCTGAACACAGCATAGGCTGATTCCTGCAGTGGGAATTGCTCTGACAGGGTGTGCGGGTCTACAGGAGGTGTCACTGTTCCCTCTGGAGACCCCCATTCCTGTCCCATTGTCAGGCAGGGCACGCAGGCAGGGACAGGCAGGGGAGCATTTCCTCATCTCCACTGCCCTGTTAATAATGGAGACAGAGGCCAGAATGAGCTTTTCCTGTGCAGACCCCTTGTTGACATTTGAGGTGCCAGAGGTGGGTCAGGACAAGTGCAGGGAGCTGCAATCTTTGATGGAGCAGTTGTGAGAGACAGGGCAGTGCCTGGGGCGTTTTGTGGAGGCTGGTGGGGAAGGCATTTGGCCAACTGGAATGGCAGAAGATGATCACCTTTAGGAGAACTCAACCTGCACCTGCTCAGTGTGCTCTGGGCAGCCGACAGAGGTGTTCATCTGCCCAAACGGAGTCATGTGCAGGGGGAGGCTGAGAAAGAGACAGAGTCCCAGGAGGTAAACCATCAGTGGATGGAGATCAAGTCAGGGGCTTGTATTGGGTCTGGCGGAGATGGGGTTAATTTCCCCACAGCAGCCCTCAGAGAGCTGTGTGTTGCACTGGTGGCTGGAAAGGTGTTGATACACCAGAGCTTTGGCTGCTGCTGAGCAGTGCTCACACAGCATCAAGGCTGTCTCCCCAGCATCCCCCAGGAGGCTAAGGGCCCCAGGGTTGGGCAGGATCTTGGGAGGTGACAGACCCAGGACAGCTGACCCAAAGTGACCAAGGGTTTATTCCATACCATGTTGCATCAGCTCAGCAATAAAAGCTAAGGGAAGGGAGGAGGAGGGGGGCATTCATTGTTATGACATTTGTCTCCTGGAGCGACTGCTACACGTGTTGAAGCCCCACTTCCTGGGAAGTGGCTGGACATCACTTGCTGATGGAAGTAAAGGATAAAATCTTTGTTTTTCCTTTGCTTTTGTGTGTGTGGCCTTGGCTGGTTTGGGGGTTTTTGGATTTTTTGGAGTTTTTTTTTCTTTATTAGACTGCCTTTGTCTTGACCCGTGCGTTTTTCTCCATCTTATTTTCTTCCCCCCCTTGTTCTGCTGAGGAGCGGAGTGATAGAGCAGCCTGGTGGGCACCTAGTGTCCAGCCAAGGTTAACCCACCACTGGGGGTCTCCCGTCTTGGGTCCATGCTTTCAACCTCTGCTGGTTCTTCTCTCCCCAGCCCTTTACTCACACCCTTGATAACAGAGTAAAGGAACAGGTCAGTGATATTCACAGTGTGCTCGGATCGCAGCATGACAGGAACTTGCTGGGAAGCTCCATAGAAACAGGAAAGCGTTGAGTAGGTGGACAGAGGACCTCAATTCAAGGGAGGAATTTAGAAACAAGGACAGTTGTAGGCAAGCCAAACCTTCCCTGGAGTTGTGAGAAAATTCAGGGGCACCAAGATGAGCTGTTAGTACTGAAGTTACAGATGAAAAATAATCAAGAATAATGTGTGGCCGCAGCCGAATTTAGTAAGAGAAGATGTAGGCAGGTCCGAGGTACTCTATGTCCTCTTTGCCTCTGTCTTTAGCAGCAAGGTCTCCCAGGCTGTTGTGCCTTGAGGCAGGACTATGGAAAAGAACAACCAGCAGTGGATGGGGTCGAGCCAGGGGTTACTCAGCCCTGAACAGCCCGTGGGACTGTTGGGCCTGCGTGTAAGAGCATTGAGGGAGGAAGCTGGGGTCATAGTGAGGCTCTCTCTTGTACGGTGTCTCGCTGTGAATGGTCTTCACTGCAGCCCTCCTGGTGCTGCGTTTTAGATTTGTGACCAAAACAATGCTCATACCACACTAATATTGTAGGTGTTGCGGAACAGCGCTCGCGCTGCTTCAAAGCCTCCTCTGATTCCCACTCTGCCCCCCATCGGTAGATTGACCGACACAAGCCGGCAGATGACCCACACTGACCAAAGAGATATCCCAGGCCATATGACATCATGCTCAGCAAGAGAATGCAGGGCAGGGGGATTTTAAGTAGGCAGCCATTCTTTGCTCAGGGACTGGCTCAGCATCACTCTACCTGTGAGACGTGGTGAGCAATCACCTTTGCATCACTTGCTTTGTTTTTCTTCTTTCTTCTTCTAGTTTTCCTTCACTTATTAAACTATTTTTATCTTGACCCATGAATTTTCTCACTTTTGCGATTTCTATTCTCTTCCCCCATCCCACTGGGTGATAGGGGTTGGTGAGTGAGCTTATGTGTGGGCTTAGCTGCCAGCCAAGGTGTGTCCACCACAGCTCTGTCTCATCTTTGGAAGTTCACAGAGATGAGGAGAACTCCCTGAGAACTTGGGAAAAGTAAATGTTGCATGTGTGTTTCAAAAAGTCCCAAAGGATTATCAGGGGAGCTAAAGTCTGTTCAAACTCACTTTGTGTCACAGTGCATGTCCTCTTGGATATAATTTCTGGGTGTCTGAAAGACAACACGACTGGGTTTACCCACAGCAGATCATGCCTGACCATCCTCATTGCTTTCTGTGCTGAACAGACTGCACTTCTTGACAAGGGAGGAGCAGCAGATGTCCTTTACCCGAGCTTCAGCAAGGCCTTCAGCACCATCCCATGCAATAGTCTTGCACCCAAGTGTGGGTATTATGGTCTGCATAAGTGGCTAAACAGAGCAGCAAAAAAAATTTAAAAAAAGCTTGAATGCTTGGGCTCAGAGGGATGTGGAGAATGGGTGATACTCTGCCTGGAGGCCTCTGACAAGTCCGTCCTGCAGGGTCTTTCCTGCGGGTGAAACATCATTGTGCACCCTGGGTGCAGGCCTTGGCTTTCCTGAGGGCTTTCCTCAGGGCATCCCTGACCTCCCTGTTCCTCAGGCTGTAGATGAGAGGGTTGACCAGGGGTGTGAGGACAGTGTAAAAAAAGGAAAACACTTTGTTGAGCTGCCTCAGCAGGGCTGTTCTGGGCAGCACGTAGACAATGAGGAGGGTGCAGTAGAAAGTGGTGACGACGGTGAGGTGGGAGGAGCAGGTGGAGAAGGCCTTCTCCCTGCCCACGCTGGACAGGATCCTCAGGATGGCAGCTATGATGTACACATAGGAGGCCAGCATGAACAGGAAGTGGAAGACAACACTCAGGAAAGACAGGATGATGGACGGGAGTGTGACCATGCTGGTGTCACTGCAGGAAAGCTCCAGCAGAGGAGTAAGGTCACAAAAGAAGTGGTCAATTGTCTTGGGGCCACAGAACTTCAGCTGGGATAAGAACACTGTGACTACTGCAGACACCAGCATACCCACTAGCCAAGATGCAGCCACCAGCTGAAGACAGACCTTCCAGGTCATGAGGCTTGCATAGAGCAGGGGCTGGCATATGGCCAAGTACTGATCATAGGACATGGCCGCCAGCAGGTGACACTCAGTACCTGCAAAAGAGCCAAAGAAATAGAGCTGAGCCACACATCCATGAGCAGAAATTGCCTTGTCCCCAGTCAGGAAGCTGGCCAGCAGCTGGGGCAAGATGGTGCAGCTGTAGCAGGTCTCCAAGGAAGACAGATTGCCCAGGAAGTACATGGGGGTGTGCAGATGCCGCTGTGACACCACCAAAACAACGATGAGGATGTTCCCTATAATGCTCATGGAATAGGTGATGAGTGCTAGGAAGAAGAGTGGAGTCTCCAGTGTGGGCACATTCCCCAGCCCCAGCAGCATGGGTGATGTCTGATTGTCCTCTTCCCATTTTTCCTCCATACAGCTTTGCTTATCTTTGTTTTTCTGCTTGCTGGGAAGGAGGCCTGTGATAAAACACATGCATTTCTGCATTAGGTGGAAGAAGAGCTGTGATGGACAATACTGCTAAAACAAGATGCAAAATCTCAAAAATCTCCTCTACTTTGCCTTTGTATAATCTATTTTTGCCTCTATCCACAATAAGAGGGAGACATGGGTTCTTCAAGGGAGCATGCCTGCTTGCCCCAAGAGCAGTCCCTCTGATCAGAGGGCTGACTTGCCCCATGGAGCTGCCTCTTCCTCATGCTGGAATAAAACCATCATACGCATTTGCTCAAATTTTGACATTTTCCTTTCCTGTGCTCAGGGGTTTTCCCAACATGACCACAACAGCTGTTTAGAACTGAGATCCTCTGCACTTTGTCAAGGAAAGCCAGTGTCATGATTTGCTATAAATTGTTTCTGTGAAAAGGTCAAGGCAGATGTGCTTTCTCCGACCAAGAGAAGGCTGAGCACAGTGCTGGGTGAATAGTCTCAGCTCTCTGAAACACTGCCCTTCTGCCGAGAGCATGCCTGCGGAAAAATTTTTGCATTGGCAAAGAGCAGCTCAGGAGTTTCCAGCTCAGACAAAGGGACTGTTCAATGGGATCATGACAGAGGACGCTTGAGCCCACATTGTATGTGAAACAGTAAAGGGAAAGGTGAGAAAGAAGAGAAAAAATCAATGAAAGAAAAAGTGTAACTGTGCACCAACCAGACAGCCCACGAGAGACTTTGTGCAGGGAGGAACGGAGAAGGACAGGCAGGAGCATTCACTTCCCATTCTCCCCTCTTCAGCACGGGTTCCTGAGGGCTTTGGGGCTGCCCCCCTTACCTCCTGCCCACCAGTAGGACTGGGCACTGGCAGCTGTGCTTGCTGGGCTCCCTGCTCAGCACCACTGGGCACCGGCAGCTGTGCTCGCTGGGCTCCCTGCTCAGCACCGCCAGGCACGGGGTAGGGGGTCCCTCAGGTTCCTGGGGTTGAGGCGGGAGAGTAGCAGGGTCAGGGGCACGGGCAATGGCCAGGACACGCCTGAGTGAACAGCCAGGGAAAGTGAACGCCCGAGAAAGAGCCTCCTGAGCTGTGCTCCTCCAAACACTTGACAAGCACTGTCAAACCTGCATCCCGGGCTGAGCTGGTTTGCTTCTGGAAAACATGAAGGCAACCAGCCTTAGCAGAGCTGACAAGGGTGGGTGGAGTTCCCAACCCTCCCACTATCCAGTGAGATAGCAGTCCATGAGAGTCAGCGTGAGAAAGCTGAGGCTCTGAGTGTGTGGAATGATGAGGGAGAGAGACAAAAAGGAGAAAGCTGAGAAAGGACACAGCCCTGAGGGAGGAGAGGGGCTGAGGCAATCTGGCTCCAAAGACCCTGCTCAGAATTCTCCCCCATCCCAGCTGAGGTGAGTGAGTGCCTGGGCAGGCTCCAAAGACCATGCTCAGAATTCTCCCCCATCCCAGCCGAGGTGGGTGAGTGCCTGGGCTGGCTCCAACACACCCCAGCCCAGCTGTAACTCAGCACTACCAGCCCCCCCTCAGCATCTCTGCTGCGCGGTGCTGGGGTCTGGGGTATCTGGGGAAGGAGGGAGCTGGGGTGGGGACACGTGCAGGACAAGACAGGACTGAGACTCCACTCGCACTCACAACCATTCACTGCACAAACACTCTGCAGCCAGATCAGCAGTACCCTGACCCAGGACATCCAGCACCCACCTGCAACACTCAGCATGAAGGGTTGGCCTCTGCACTGGTGGTGCCTGGGAATAAAGACGTAGGGTCTCACTCTCTTCCTCTACCCTACCACTTCTTCCCTTCCATGATCTCTCTGCAAACCCTGACCCAGATCTAATGCCCTGCTCTGCCCTTGTCCTCTTCTCCCCACAGCTCGACCAGTGACTCTCCAGCAGCCGAGAAATGTCCCGTGCTCAGCACGGTGTCCTGGAGTTTATAGCACTGATATTTCCTTCAGGGACTCAGGCACAGCTCAGCTCTCCCCAGGGACTGCAGGGAGGAAGCATTGCTTAATTGGTTCTCAAAGGAGGCTGCAACTTCTGAACTGATGGAAAGTTTGTAAACTATTGTGGCAAGGCCTGCCTTTCCCAGTACCCCTGAGTACTTTGAGCGCTGGGTAAGGCTCCTCTGGAGAGGAGGTTCAGGCAGGAAAATCATGAGGATTCAGCAAAGCTCATGACACAACCCCACAAGAGTTACCAAGAATAAGATCCCCATCACCTCCTTGCATCAAACTTTAAAACGCAAAACACACTGGGACAGTTTTTTTTTTTTTTTTAAACAGAGTTTTAAAGTAGTAATACTCACTAAATACTTCAATGCTGAGAGACAGTGACAGAGTGAGGAAAAATAGGTGAACCTGTATTATCTGGATTTACAAATTCTCTGTCCGTAAAAACATAGTCCCACAACCTAGGGAATGTTGCATTAGCTGGTGCTGGGGGAAGTTGAGCCAAAAGGGCCTAGAGTGGAATAACCTTCCCACAATCCAGGAGGAAGCAGTTAATGACCTGCTACGGCACCTGGACATGCACAAGTCCATGGGGCCAGATGGGATCCACCAAATTCTCATACATAACAAACTTTTTATACCCCCACATCACAATATTTTCCCTTTTATTTATCAACAGTCCTGGCTAACAGGGGAGGTCCCAGAAGACTAGAAACTTGCCGATGTGATGCCCATCTACGAGAAGGGCCATAAGGAGGATCCGGGGAAC